GCAATACATAAAATACATAAAGTTAGAGAAAATGTAAAAGAGTGCGACCACTTTATTGTGGGATATGGGGAAAGTGCTGGAAGAAGTGACAACACAAATCACAATTGGCCCTCCGTATCTTCAGGTTTGAAAACACTCGGGGAAAAAAATGCATCTGTACTGAACATATGTAGACTTTTTTTCTTGTAATTATGCCTTAAAATAACTATTTACATATTATTTACTTTGGTTAGGAATTGTGAGTAATGTGGAGATACCTTAAAGTATAGATGTGTGTAGGTTACGTGTAAATACTACACCATTTCATAGAAAGGACTTGAGTGTTCAGAGCTGGGCATCTGCAGGAGTCCTGAAACCATATCTAGGGATGACTATATTCTTTTAAATTTTTCTTAATTTTTACAGATGAGTCTGAATATGAACAGAAGATAAGAGATACCTTGAGAAACTATAGACGTTACATTTGAAAAGTCTACTTTTATGATTAAAAACACTGACTCACAAATAAGAAAAATTTGGGAAGTTACCCAGTGCCTTTCTCCCAATTATATTGCATTGGAAACTTCCTTAAAAAGGGAATAAACATGTCATTTGTTTTTGCATCAGATGGAGCTCTGAAGATCTTAAGAATGAAAAGTAACAGACTGGGTGGGGGGGGGGGCGGGTCTCTGTCCAAATCCTGGATCAGCTCGATTCTCCTTGTTTCTCTGGGCTACCTAAGTAAAGCAGCTCTCTTCTTTCTGTTTCTCTAGGGAAGAATGATGACAATTCTCCTTTCCAGTTAATTCTTCCCCTGCTTGTTGGAAAGAGCCATTAGTTTATGTTTTATTCTTTATGCCTGTGAGATCTTGGGATGAAATACTCTATAAGCCACAAAGCCTATTACTATTTTAAGTACCTGCATCTTCCAGGAGAAGGAACACTCTGGCTCCCTGCAGGAGAAATAAATGGAGTCAGCTTTCAGGCTGGCACACTGTCTTTAGTAAAAAATGAAGAAAGACATGGATCATCCTGTTCTGTCCACTGTAGAAAACATGTTCAGATCAGTAAAGCAGAGCACAAATTTAAGAGGAGTTACTTGTTCCACACTCTGGGCTACACATTTTTTTTTCTTTTCTTTCTTTTTCCTTTTTGGTCCAAAAGAACAAGCTCTGAACACAAAAAGGAGGGGATATCAGGGTAAGGGTAATGATAAAATGGATTTTCTAAGGTGTGTGTGGGAAGAAACTTGTTCTTTCTCTTATTGTAGTCTTGTTTCATGGCTGTGAAGGAAAGAAACTGACTGGCTACCCACATTTTGAATCATACATGCAGTTTGAGGGAGCACCTGGCACTTGTGAACGAAACAGAAGGCAAAAATATTTTGTTGTATTTTCCCATTGTACTCTCTCTTCAAGATTTCTTAAAATCCTTCCCTTTGTGTTCTTGTCAAGATTGACAAGCATCCATGTGTTACCAAATGACATGAAATTCTAGCTTGAATAATCATGACTAAAATTCAGGATATTTTGAAGCAAGTTATTGACTTGGAGAACCACCCACTAGACTGAATTCTTCTGAATTAACCTTGACTGACAGAGTCAGGGGGATGGTGCTTCTACCCTAAATGGTCATATCCATCCATGTCCCTGCTGCAGCTCTGGTGCTGGCATCTTTACCCCAGGACTGTTATGACATAAGTTGTGTAGCTAAAAAGGTCTTTCTCATTAATATTATAGAAAACTCCATGTTTAGAAATTAAACTCTGAATCAAAAAAAGCAGATGGCAAGGGAAGAAACTGAAAGAACTCTTTTTACTTGAAGCTTGTTTATCTTCATTCAGCACGGACAATAACCAATGCCACTGGCAGTGAGATGACAGGACCCATGGGATATTCAGATGGGAACAAGGGGTCATTTTTAATAAAAAAGTAATGAAATCATGTTTCATTCTCTGCATATTCTGAGTGCAGCAATCTCTAATGGAAATTGTTGAAAAGGTCATTATGTAGGAATAGGTTGAGCATGAGGCCTTTCATCCCCTTACATTTCCCCAGTTCCAAAAAGTGGCTCCAGAAATTCTACATAGAAGGTGCTTAGAAACTGCATTCTGTTTGAAAAAGAGGAGGTAGGAGACTTACCCAGAAGTAATGTGGCACCTTATGGTTTAGATATGAGGTGTGCTCCAGAAGCTCCTGTCTTAAGGCAGAAATCCACAGAGGAATCCACAGAGGTAAAGTGATTGGATTGCAAGATCTATACCATACTCAGTCCATCCTAGTTTGAATGACTGGGTAGTAACGGGGGGTGGGGCATGGCTGGAGGAGGTGAGTCACTAGGGGCATCCCTGAGAAGGGTGCATGCCTTGTTCTCCTTTCTCCTTCCCTTGGGCCCAGAGCAATGAAATTAGTCATCTACTGACTGAGATCTCTGAAACTGTGAGCCCCAAATAAACATTTCCTCCTCTAAGTTGTTCTTGTCAGGTACTTTGGTGACAGTGATGCAAAAGCTGACTAAAGCAGCATAGCAAGCCCACTGTTTTTAAGTAGATGTTATGTTTTTCTTTGTTTTGTTTTGTTTGTTCTAAAGAAACAAAAGAGATGGCTACTCATCTCTTCCCCAAACCAACTGAACCCTTGGTGATGTTCTTAACTGATTCTTTGCTGCCTTTAAATAATTGTATGAATTTACTTATCACTTGTATTTTTAAAAGGCACATAATTGATTCAAACTTATGGTTTAGAGGGTCTAGCATTACAACTCCATCTTAAATATATAGGAGCACGTTTGTATTTAAACACTTTACAACGTCATAAAGCAGAATGTATCAAACTAAAAACTGACAGAAAATATTGGCTTGATTAGCTGTTTATAATGATTTCCAGAAGTACTTATTTTCCAAGGTGAAAATTATAACGCATTTCACAGCATTTTTGCCAATGTTTTCCTGAAGGATTGGTTAGGTTATTAGCAGAACATGAATATAATCTTTGCAAACCATCTCTAAGAAACTGTTTTGCAAACAGTTCCTAATAAATTGTTAGAGTGTTAATGAATGATTTACCAGGACTATCTTGAACTTTTAAAATTACACCTAGATTATGTTGTTCATTCCTATAAGAAATACAGATCCAAAATATATATGTATATTTTATTCACCAAATGCATGAAAATCTAGACTCCACAATATCACCTCTAAGTCTTTCTAAACAACCCCTCAGACTCAAGCGTTCCAAATGCTTTGTTACCAAAGTGTGGTTCATGCAAAACTGCCCATTTCTGGTCCATCTTGTTTTCCTGTGAGAGTACACAGCAGTATTTATTGAGAACTGCCTCTTAATCAGAAGCTTACATCCATTTTCAAATCATCTTACCCTCTACTTTTGCAAGTTCTGTACTTTATCTCATTTCCCTCATCTCTGATGTAGCCTTCACCTTTACTAAGATTCTGGGCAGGTCACAATTTGGTGTAAATACAGTATCAGCTTCAGGAGCAACTATCCGATTATTCTATAATGTGGAATCTGAAATTGTCATCTTTTTATCACTTCCTCTATTTCCTTAGCGGAAAAATGATGATTTCTCTGGACCAGTATCTTCAAAATTTGTTTCAATGACACTCAGATTTTGTCTTGGGTTTTTCTCACTTTCACAGTCATCTTTGCAGCTACTAAGAAAAATTCTTCCATGCATTTTACCATACTCTTAAAGCCTACAATTTTTAACTCACCAAGATTTCCCAAGAAGCTATTAACCTAATTTTAACTATTTTAAAAATGTGATTTAACTCAAGCTTCCTAATCTTAAAATCTCCAACCTTAAAAAAATCGCTTGTTTAAACAAAAACATATATCTCCCCTATTATTTATGAACAATATAAATGCTTGAATTTTATATTTACTCTATAAATCATCACTGTTATGCTTACACATAATGTCTGTCTTATGTTGTAAACTTTGAAAGTACAGATTGTAAGCATTGCTCTGTACAGCAACTGACTGAGCACAATGTCATGATCGCTTAAATGCTTTTGATGATGATGGTGAAGATGGTAATGATCACATAATGCTGTTCTGGTCAGAAAATGTCACATAGGTAGTCCAGTATGCTTTCTTTAAAAACAATTTTTTTTTAATGTGAGTTGTTTCTCATTCTATAAAGCTGTCATTCTTCATTAGGAAAAGAAGGTTACAGTAAGTTATAATTAGTGTTTAGTGCCCTATCAAATAATTAAGTATAATAAAAAGCTCTCAATGAGTTTAATGTTAACATGGTGTAATTAAAGCCAAGTCTTGAAATGCATTAGGTGTCTATTATGTCAGATATTTGATTTTTCTTTCCTTTACAGATGAAATTCTCAAATTGTGCTTATAGCAATGTCATCATCAAAGGCAAAAACACATTACTTGAATGCAAAATGGGCTTTACGGTGTCCAAAAAGGACAGAATTCAGAAAATCAAAAAATGAACATTACTTCTACAGCCCTGTTATGTACAATAAGAAAACTGAGTCTTAAAGGTATTGTGACTTGCCCAGGGTCACACAGTGAAAAATTAATTCTTTGTTGGAAGTGAGTTATTGACGTGTGGGGTTTTGTTGAAGTGATTGTTATTATTGTTAACTATTTCTTTCTGAAGTGCAAAAGTTTGCTAGAAAAATGTTTATTTGGTCTTTTTCTTGATAGGGTGAAAAAATTTGTGAAAAGTGAAAGAATATAATTTGTGTGTAACTCCTCCCTTATTTAAGTTGTCTTAGGATGCAGGGCTTGTCAATGTGACTATTTTAAGGCTCAATACAGAGACAAGGCTGAAATCTCACCATTCTCTCAACAGAATATCTGGAATGTGCCTAGATACTTGGCCATTTTGAACCCTGCATTCTTTGAGCTTCCCAGGCCCTCTCTTGTGCATGTTGTATTATCTTTTTTGTCCACAAAGATTTTGAAAAATCAGCAGAGTACAAGTAGCCCCTGAAATAAAGGCGTCATTCAAGGAACAAAGAAGTAGAAGGAGGGATCCAATTAAAATGATGAAAATCTTTAATTTTTATTTAGGTATACTTGTACGGACACGTGTATATACAAATACAGATTGTATGGGTTTGTTTGTGTGTGGGTTTTTTTTTTTTTTTTTACATTTCTTTTACGTTTATATAATGTCAGCATTTCAAAACAGCACTCGATGAGTAAGTGCAAAGGAACTGCAAAGCAGGGCAGTACAAGCACAGGACCACACGGAGCTGGACTTCACACCCAGACGCACACACAATGAGTGGCTTCAATGGGGTGTCAAGAGTAAGCATGGAAAGTGGATTTTGACTCATGGGTAACCTCCAACATGCCAGCATCTATTAAACTGTACAGACAATGGGAGCAAGCCCATTGTAGGGAGATTTTCTCACATCCGAGCAGCTCTGAGGCAAATGCATGGGAAAAACTCAGTGATGCCAAACCAGAGACAGACCTGCCCATTCACGGCTCTGAGGGAAAATAAAATGTAGGAGGAAAGCGAGAGACAAATAATAATAATTTTAAAAAACATAAAAAGTTGAGGGAGTTGTAAGGCAAACCAGGGTGCTGGTGGAGGTGGTTTTCAAAACAAAAGCCAGTGACCACAACTTTGAGAGCAATGAATGGAAGGGAGGAGCTAAAAACTGTTTTTCTAATTTTTTGAAACTAATAAAAAATGGCTGCAGCCGTTGCTAAGGCACCGGAGAAAAACAGAGTCCCTGAAAATCTACAGGTACAGTGTGACTCTTCCTCTCACATTGTACAGAGGGAAACAGCCCCCATTTAATCTTCCTAAAGGGATTGGTTTGCAACCTTTCCTGTGCCTGAGCTGCACTTGATACCGACAAGACTTTTCCTGGGAAAAATGAAACAGTCCATGAAACAACCATAAACAGAAAACCAAACCAAAGTACAGAACCATTACTAAATTCTCCAAACCTTTTCAAACCACATGCTTAGGGTAGGGGAGGACCATAGGGCTCCAACATCAGACCTTGAAAACATTGAGGACAAGATATTGGTCAAAAAAGTCATGTTGTTCCAGGTCCCAAGATGATGGAGTCTTAAGCTTAGGTGGGTGATGACCACATGAGTCCTGTATATGGAGCAGTGTCTCAGCCATTTGTGACTTTTCTTAGTCATGTACACACTGGATGTTTCAAAGCCTCGATGCATGTTTTGTATCCTGAAAGTCTATTGTTCTCACTTACAAAAGACATAAGAATCAAATTAATACTTTATTATCAAACACTATATACAACAGAGGTTGCTAATAATACAGAATTTAAAGAACGCTTTTTTTTTTTTAATGTTTTTCTTTTCTTTCCTCTGCCACCCAAGAAAGTACAATACAAAACAATAGTCTAAACTAACACGAACTGTTACCTGGTCTATTACAGGATACACGGTATCCACTAAACAGACAGATCCTTATATCCCTGCTTCATGTTGCAAAGCCCTTGGCAACCAGGGGCAAAGGTCGCTGGGGTTTGACCAACTGGGGCTGAGGGGCAGTCATGGCTGCCCTTCAGGCTTTGAATTTTTTTTAAATTAAAAGCTGCTACAAAGTTACATGACATCCTCCTAAGCCCCCAGAGGATTGTAACACCACTACAAAAGGCCACCAGCGTTTTTTTGGACAAGATGAAAACTGTCTGATACCAATCATCTTCTTGAAAACTCCACGCAAGTGCATTAGCTATGATTATGTCATTTATAGGTTGAGAAGCATATTGTCTACTGGTGTGGAAAGTCTTGCTAATTTTTTTTAAAACTTAATTTGTGGTGGCACAATAGTGAAGTAAAAGGGTCTAATTTCCCTGTGAAAAATGAAAGACAATGGCAGAGAGGGCCATGAGTAATTATTTCATTATTTGTTAGAGACAAATGCTAGAAAAACCACAGAAGTCACCATTTCTAAAATGAAATTAGCACTGCTAATGTAGTTATGACTAACTGGAATTATTACAGGATTGTTTGATTTCCTCGGCTATAGAACATGCAGTATTATTTTCGTTCTGCCTATTGATCCATTTTAAAAGGTATCTTTTTTTCCCCCTACCCAAATCCCACTGGACCAACAAGCCTGTAACTATTAATAAAAAGAATAGGATTTCTGGACACTACTGAGAGTATTGAGCATATAAATAGCTAAAGGAAAAAGGAATTGAATGCTGTGGACTTTTGTTTCAATGAAATAGTGGGTGCCTTCTGTGATAAGACTCTGCCACTCCAGAGAAGTTCCTGATATTGGGGAGAAGGGTTGATTGTATCTGCGAAGCTGGCAACCCCACTCACAAAGTTCCAAGTGAGAACAGACTCAGCAGTAACATCCACTCCAAACCATCAGGTAAGCCCAGATTACATTTCAACATGTGTACAACTCTCTAGGGTGCAGTACATTTACAGCTGCCTTTCATTCACATGTTTTTTCAATTCAAAACTACTCACAATTCTAAGCAAATTCCCATTCATGAAGTCCGTCCATAACATGACCCCCCTTTTTTTACATATACATTTTAAAAAACGAATATATAAAAATCCTTATTTTGCTGGAATGCTCTCAAATTTTTCACATTTTACATGATCATTGCATTTATTGACTTGCTTAATTATTTTGAAAGGCATGGTTTCTATTGACATGTCGTGCAATAGCATAAAAGGCTAGATCACTTTTCCATTGGTCTGACACTTCTCCCTGTCTAGGCTTTGGAGTTTAAAGTTCATGACAGTCCCACCAGTAGAAACCCCAAGGCTCACATTTCCTGGTAATCAACTGGAAACGTCCCCTGTTGGCCATGCTAAGATTCCTTAAACAGGGTCATCCTGTGTTTATTCTCCTTCTGCCCCACCCCCACAATGAAACAAGATAGCCCCCATATTTCTAAATGTATCAAGGGATACCACTTTTTCTCACAAGTTTAAATAGGACAAGCATATATACTCACTCTCAGCATAAAGTATATCTAAATAATGTATTTTCTATTCTAGTGGATTTTTAAAAAAATATTTTGTTAAAGTCTTTGGGACTCCATCTTGTTTATCTCCCACAGATAAACACGTGTTCCCCCTACGCTTTAGGCTGTGTCAGAAAGGGAAAGAATATAAAATCAATGCTTGAATTCTTTTATTCCAAACTTTGGAATTTTTATTCCAAATTTCCCTTTAGCCCTCCCAAGTAGTGCTGACTGACTCTCCTGGTGACAGGGGTTTTTTTGTCTGAGCCCCCTGCAGTTGTGGAGTGTGGAGCAAAACGTGGGCATTGGGGTGGGAGTCGGGAAAAGGCCACAGCACACTGGCGCTCCAGCAAAGCCAAATCACATCTCCTCTGGCCACTGACATCCTTTCCTTGGTACATATCATCCCCCAGAGGAGCAGCCAAAGCTATTCCACTCTGCAATCATCAACCCTGGCTTGTCAGCCTTGGGGAAGGTCACTTTATTCATAAAAATGCCTCTTTGAGTTTCTAAAAAAAAAAAAAAAAAAAAAAGTTGTAGCACCATGGTGATCTTTATTCAAAGGAAAAAAAAAAAAAAAAAGATCTGGTGTGCACTGCCCAGTCACCAAAAAAATTAGAGGCACTCACACATACACACCCCCACCAAACATAGTTTGCTCTGTTTTCACACTTGCTCTGTATTAGCATTCCTGCACCCAACTCGCCTCCTGGAAAAAAAAGGCTTCTTTTACAGAATACAAGTTTTGCTGTCAAGAATGCTTTAAGACAGTCATATTTTAAAAAAACCCAGTGTCTCAACCTTTTAGAAGCCTGTTCATTTATATACTCCTAGAGGAAATGGTGTAATATTATATCTATTCTTAATACCTCCCCTCTGGACCTGACATGGTGACATGATGCCCTGCATGATCATCTTACAGTCCTGAATGAGAAGGCATAAATATTGTATAGGAGAGTGAAACCCTCCCGGGCCTGGCCATCACTGGCTGCATCTGCCACTATTCTTCCTTGTCCATATACCATCCACACAGTGTGCTAACGGAAGTGAGCTCTTAGAGGAGAATGCACAGGAGCTGACGAACCACTGGTGTCACTACGACAATTTGGCATTTTCACCTGGAGTCCATTTAATTTGGAAGGGGTGAGAGAAGTCAAGGGCAAGGGCTGGGGATGGAGTGAGGGAGGCAGCAACTAGTTTATTCAGTCCCCCCAACCCCAAGTTGTTGTTTAGGATTCAGACTGAAGGAAAGAAAACAAAAATCTGACATCTGCCAAAAACCAATAACAAGTCCCTTCTTAGGATGAGCAGTTAGGTGGATCTCTGGTGTTCCAAGACCCTGATGTTTTCTGTGACAGGTGACGGGAGGAGACTGTGCTATAATGTCAAAAGCATCGCCAGGAGGAACAGTAGGATTGCCAAAAGGCGGCTGGGTATCCTTGGTGTTTGTGCCGCGTTCTCGCCGCGGGATGGCTCGGCTGACTCATGTACGGTGTCATCTGTTCAAATAGAAAGCACACATTCCAATGAGATTTCACATCCTTAATAACTCTCTTGCAGCAGCCTGCTGTTAACAGACCTCACCACCCTCTGCAAAGTAGGGTAATGAACCTTGTGCCACCATTGACTTTCATGTCTGCATAATCACTCATTATTTACAGCAAACAAAGGAGAGGCAGAGAAAATTGGACTTTCTTGGCAATATTAATACTTTCCTTTAAAACTGAGGGGAGAAATTGTGCATACACTATAACCTTCACTATGTGAGTTACTTTGGTTTGCTAGCAGTCAGACTTGTCTTGCACAAACTTGAAATACCCAATATATGTTTTAAATCTAAGATGCCACAGGGAGGAAAGTAACGTGTTGGAGAGCGTAGGGGAAAGAGGCAGTTATGTTGGCATATTAGTGGTTAACCAGAATGGGCTGTTCATTTTCCTCTCTTTAGTCATTTCATAGGATTAGTGTTGAATGCTTTGTTGGCGGGTGCCTAGGTGAATTTTCAAATATAAAAAATTAAATACCAAAACAACAGCATTTAAAATAAACTATATGTAATGCCCAGTAAACTTCAATAAACTGGTACCCACTGGTTTTCCTTCAATTAGGAATCAATTATGCTACTATTTCCATTATTGGCCCTGTATCTCCAGGATTAAATTACTTGAACTTGACTATTTTTATTTTTATCAGGCTGAAGCTTGGCACATAAATTATCAGCATGGATGCAAATTTTCTTCTAAATAAAATGGATTAAGTGAGTTAAGCTTCTTTTATTTAGCTATAAAGTGTTCTACGAGGCTGCCTCTGACTTTGGATAGCCTCCCTGATCTGCATGATTAACAGGCTTAACTTTGAAATGGGAACTTTGCAGTAATTAGTGCCCAAAGATAGATGGAGGCTTGCCCATGAGCGAGCCGTGCTATTTTGTAGCATGGCCCATCTTCTTCCTTCCACCTGGTCTCACTTGTGCTTTTAGACTAAATGACCTCTGAATGACTTGCTCCTGGGGCCAATAGTGGTCCTCTGTGCAGATTTTCAGCATCCTGTAGGAGCTCAGCAATTGCCAACTGGGATTCACTCAGTGGTCAGAGAGAATGATAGGTAATAAGTGAGACCCTAGTGTGACTATTCCCAATTATGTAGATCTCAAAAGATAATCCCCAAGTATCCCTGAAAGGCTCACCTTGAGCCCCTTAACGGGTTAACTATCCATTATTTTAAATTCATTTATATTTTCCTACTACATGACACATCACAATAAGGACACTTTTTCTTGCTGGGCAGAGTCACAATCACAATGGATGTCTCTGCTCATCACATCCATTCCTCATGTAAACTAAGAAAGACGTTTTCTCAGCTGGGCATCTTTTGCCCCTAGCTCTCTGATCACATTAGCCTGTCCTCATATAGATGCTGCTGCATCTAACATGCTCCCCTTTCCTGGACCTTAGAAAACCTAGATGGAGTGGTTTTAGCTTAGGAAAATGTTAGGAAGCAAGAATGGGAAGATGAAGAGAAAAATGTGTGTAGTCCTGAACAGGATAGCCAAGTACTTGCAGACCCTCCTTTTCTTCGCTCTTTTTCAGCCTTGCAAATGTATTTTGCAGTTAATAGGGGGTAGAAGACCCTTAATATCCCTGGAATTAAAATTCAAATAACTTCCCCAAGAGCACCAAAATGGTGTCAATCAAAACAATGGAGTACTGCAAGAACTATAAACCCGGAGGATTCCATAGAACTTTTTCTTTTTTTTTCTTTCTTTCTTTCTTTTTTCTTTTTTTTTTTTTTTTACTAATGTACTGGAGATTGAACCCAGAGGCATTCTACCACTAAGTTATATCCCCAGCCCTTTTAACTTTTAAATTTTGAGACAAGGTCTTGCTAAGTTGCTGAGGCTGCCCTCAAACTTGTGATCCTTCTGCCTCAGCCTCCCGAGTTGCTGGGATTATAGGTGTGTGCCACCACACCCACTCAGAGTTCATTTAAAAATATTGTTTATATTTATACACCTGAAATTATATGTGTTCTTCTCCACATTATTCTTACTAACACATTACCTAATCTCTGCATAGTTTGGAACCAAAGCAGCTCTTATGTACTCAGTGTGAGCATGAAGGTGACCCTTTCACTGCTTCCTGTCCCTTCCAGGTCCTCAGCAAAGCCTAGTCATTACTTGAGGCCCACTCAGCACAAGACATGGTAAAAGGGCCTCACAGGAAAATTGAGAGGAAGGCTTTCATGTTTCATCTAAAGTGAAGCATGAGGCTTAATGTGCCTTTCAGTCCTCTCATCACGGACAATCTGTGGACTTAGCCCTTTTATAAGCAACCAATGAATGTATACCATCCTGTCCCGAAAAGGGGAAAACCCATTTTCTTGGGGCATCATGATTCTTTTCTTATTCCTGCAACATGATGTTCTGCAGTGAAGATTCTACAAAGCATCCTTTGATTAAAATAGAGGCTCAATGATGGGATACTCTATGGCTCCAAAGGGTGAAATGAGAAACTGGCTATCCTTTGGGTAAATTGGAGCAATTTTAGAATTCTAAGGAAGAATTCATAAGCAAAATCTATCCTAATGGAAATTATACCTAATTTCTAAATGTAGGAGAATTTCTAACATATAACAGTGAGCATTATTTGGAAGAAGAAAATCTCTTCAGAAGCCAAATCAAATCTTGTCTCCTGGCTACAGGATTCCACCACACAGGGGTTTCAATGGTTAACTGAGAGAACACTAGCGATATTTTGGAGCATGTAATGTGGCATATGTCTGCCCTGAGATCATCCTGCATCCCTGATGATAGGAAACTGGCAGGCAAAGTGTTGCAAGCAAACAACAAAGACAAATACATTCCAAAGATAGGTGAATTAGTACATATTGTTGAGAACATGCAGTGGAATCCTTTCAGACTTGCTGGATTCAGAAAGCCTGCATCAACATCCGGGGGGTGAACATCCATTCGCTCAACCAGTTTACACAGTGGTGAATTGCCCTGAGGCTGAATTTTGTAAGGTATAAGGTTACACCCTCAAATTTGTTATTGTATTCATACTACCAAGGACTGTGGCTCAACCTTTTCTCACCTTTTTAATGAAGATGCTTACTGGCAAGCCCTTAAATACAGTTACAACTATCTCAAGGAACTGCAAGCATACCTACACTGTACATCCCAGCACCCAAGCGTGTGTATGCGCATGCACACACTCTCTCAACTATACTCTTAAATGTTTACAAACTTTCATCAGTTACATGCTTATAGATTTGAAGCTGTTAAAAATTTTGAATGATCACTGAAAACTTATTTCCCTGAATTCTGACAGTGAAATATGCTCATGTATGAAAGTGTCTTAATGTCTCACATGTTATCATTAGTCGAATTCAAAGGTAATTTTCCTAATAGCAGAATAGTCCTCAGTATACCTCTTCTTTACCAGAGAAAAGCATGCAGTATGTGGGTTTCTAAACAGCCTCTTGCTCTCTAAATAGGCAATGTCAGTTTACCTGGAAATGACATGATGGTAAAGATATGTCTTTATTCTGCATGTGTATCAAGAAACAATCCCAGGCAACTTTTATTTATAACATGCCTAACTCTTCTAGTTACCTTTATTCTTATTACCAAACTCAGGAGAGCAAAATCTTCCTTATGAACATCTATACCTCTAGAAATGATAAAGAATAATAATTTTATTTACATATGTATATATTGGAGCCAAGAGATCTGAATATGAAACAATCTAACTAGCTGTGTGGCCTGGACAGGTCTTCTCAGTCATAAGAGAAACAATGTAGACTTTATAGTTTTTTTTTAAAAAAGAAATAATTTATTTGTTGTATTGGGATTGAACGCAGGGGTACTTTACCACTGAGCTACATCCCCAGCCCATTTTTATTTTCAGACAGGGTCTTGTTAAGTTGCCCAGGCTAGCCTCACATTTGCAGTCCTCCTACCTAAGCCTCCCAAGTAGCTGGGGTCACAGGTGTGTGCCATGACACCCAGTAACTCTATATTCTTTAAGATATCCCATTTGACTTGCAGCTCCTATGATGGCCCACGTCCTTGAGCTTGTGAGGAGACTGGTACCTTGAAAGTCACAGTAATGCTTCCAGATTTCTAGGACACAATTAAAATGTCTCTGCGTCAGCACTCATTCCTTGCAACTTTCTAAAGCAGCTAACTGATCCCTGGGGAGCCACTAAGACCTCTCAAAGATCATTGTACACACCTCTTGTTTGTGCTTTGGGTTAGATGCCTGCCTTAGAAAAACAAGAATGCTTGGGGGGAAAAAAAACCCTAACTCTTCCTGTCAGTTACAATGTGAAAGCTATTGTATGTCCTGAGGCACTGCATTTACTCAGGGTAAGTTTCCCTAAGGCTCATTGACTGTGTTATCCCAGTAACAATACTCAGTGGATAAAGTGGACCTGAGGCTCCTTTAATTTCTATAACAATAAGAAAAAAAAAAAAAGTCTTACCACAAAAAATACAAAAAACAAACAAGAAAAAAAATCTCCATTTGCATAAGGGGACTCAAATCTCTTTGTGAAGTGGAAATAGTTTTATTTCCCTTCAGCTTTGAGATGATGGGAGATGGGTAAAGAAAGGCATCATGATCTTCAGCAGGAGAGGGGAGGAAAAGATACTACTATATGGAAAGGACAGCAATGAGCTGGGAATAGAGGGCCACTACCTTTCATAAAGAATCTCGCTGCATTTGATGGCCAAATTGAATTTATAACCAAATGGATAGTTTATAGGTTTACATTATCAACAGTATACTACAGCGTAAATACTTAAATGAGAGTTCTTGTGGGCTTTATTTTCTTTCACAGGGCTGGGATAGTTTGAAACTGTGAAACTGAGTACTAGAAAAAATTTATCTTTAAGTCTTATTTTGCCTCAGCAATCAAAGATCATATTTGGCTCAACAGGCTACGGTGTACATTTATGAGAGCAGCAGGTGTGTGAATCTGTGGTGGAAACATGATTATACTTCTCCAGACAAATGCTATTGACAACAACAGCACAAACAATATTGGAATAAAATGAAGTTTTTTAGATCAGTTTCATGAGGTATGTGATTTTCTAGGGAAAACTAAATATGCTGAATTGGTTGCTCTTTTGTTCAATAGTCCTACTACTTTTAGCCACAGATTTGGATATCAAAATGAAAATTTTATAAACACATACAATGGAAATGTTTTTTGTCTTATATGAAAACAGATTCTTTAATATTCACAGTGATTCACCAGCATGCTCTGAGGATATGGCAAAAGGCAGTGAGATTTTAGCATTCTGATGGGGCTTCATATTAGGATACTGCATTAAATAAAACCCATGTCCAAAAAAGAAAAGCCATATTTAATCTAACATGCATTACACAAAGATAACTGGAGGAATGAAGTAGAATATAAGTAATATTAGCATTGCTAGCAATGGGCAAAAGCAAAACAATCGTAACATGCAAACATGCAGAGAGGAAGAAAGGAAAAAAAAAAAGGGCTGAAGCACCGGAGAGATAGATGCATTTGTTAAAAGAGATTCTCTAAGCATACTAACCTGCTGGTTCTAATGAATTTTCTACTTTGTCGTTAACATCGAAAACACGATCATGAACACCTATAGTTTTCATACAGCTATCTATAACAAAAATAGAGATAACAGCCAAATATGTTAGTGAAGATACCCTTAAACTCCCATTTCTCTTTTTTTTTCTTTCTCTCTATTTTTCCTTTTATTTATGTCAAGATTGTTTTACAATCAATGGCATGTATCGGAATGCCAATATTGTTCCCATTAGCTGTGCACGTACAACAATCTAAGAAACAACAAGTTAGCAACTGCTGTGTACTTAAATAAAAGCATCATGAAGAATGATGAGAAAAAATATGATGAAAACTAAAACATGGATGTTGATATACGAAACAGATACCACACGAGATTTAACAGTAAAAAAAAAAAAAAAAAGAAAAAGAAAAAAAACTTTTACCGCCGTGAACCAGACCACACGATAAAGCATGCGCAGTGAAGGCACCCTCTGAAGCTCAATCTAGGGAACTTACTTGTTGGTCTCACAAAGACTTTGAGTTTTAGGCAGGACCTTCTTCCATTATCTGGGATTGCAGAGGCTGTGGTGAGAGAGGGCAAGAGAGAGAGGAGACAACGACAACTGATTACTTACAACAAATCATACTTTTCAGATGGATCTAACTGCTACAGAGGAGTCTACTTTCACATCCCACATTTCAATACAATAAAGAATCATGCAAGAATGTGGGTCATCTATGAAAAAATATTTTGGACTTTCATTTCAAAGGCATTTCCATTTAACTTGATCTGTTATGAATTTTCTCTAAATCAAAAGGATAATACCGGAGCCCTCTTGCTTTAGGGGCTACTCCTCCTCAGCTGCAGGAAGAGAGGCCCACCAGAGGCTGGGGGTGAAAGTGCTGGCAAAAACCAGTATCGGATAGTCAGAAAGGCAGACTTAAACATGACCAATTTCTGTTGGGGAAAGCAGAGCTTTGTCTGTCCTGAAAGCTTGTCTGTCAGTGCTTTGCAGGTAATTCAATTAGAGGTTTTACTCAGAACTTGGCTCCACTTTCTATATGACTAACCCAAGCCCAGCAACTTCCATCATGCTATTATAAGTACAATATGCTATTGAGAAAGTACTATGTTGCAACGGCACATTTATTTTTTAAAAAGTGTGCAACAGAGAAGGATGGAATTAATAAAGTGGACTTACCAAAACATGACAACATGTTTCAAGTTATAAATCATTTGAGGAAGAAACTTTCTTCTCCTCTTCAAGATAATAAGATTGTAAACTTTCTCTGGGTTTGAAAGATTATCTCCCTGCAGTACTCACAGCTGAATGTCAAAGGGATTTCCAGGGGTGGCAAGACCCTTAACAACCACATGTGTTTACTAATGCATTCTAGAAATGACATAAATTACTGAAATGAGTGCTGCATACTTTCCTCCCTATGTGCTTGCTTCAAGTGGTTTCTTTGTTCCGAAAAGGCAGATGACATCAATCAAAACACACATGGCTTAAAATTAGTGTGGTAATAGCTAAAGTGACAAAGAGAGGGCCAGCGCTGTCTTCTCTCTTTTTATTTTTATGGTATTCTTCATGGGGAAGCCCAGAAAACAAATGAACACAAAAGTTTACTTTGCAGGTAAGAGGATTCAAGATGTAAATTCCAAACCAATTTTACATGAATTTCCTCATGGAACTACAGATCCATGAAACCATGCTATAGGAAAACTTATAAATTAAGGACCTAAAACCTCAAGCTGTAAAGGACCCCCAGTGTCACTATTCAACACCTGTTGAAACTCTTTATTTTAGGACAAAAGTATGGAGAAAAGATGTTTTCCACCCTCCCCACCTCCTCTGGATCCTCTGACAAGCAGTTAAGAAGTGCTAACAGCTGGCTTTGCTGTAGGCTTTCATTAAATCAAAGTCGGAAAAACTCCCTCTACTGACATTTACAGTAACTAGTGTGTTATTTAGGGCACAATATTTGCACTCTGTGGTTTGATCCAGGAAATGGTGTCCTTCCTGTGGACCCCAACTGCAAATGTGCATGTCACAAACACAGTGCACATAGGTGACTCCAATTCATTAAGAAAACCATGGGTTCTTAAATGACTACATGTCTTACTCACGAGAGGTAGTGTGGAAAAGCAAAATATGGATATTTGCACTGCTGTTCTATAGGTTTTTGAGTGCAGAGGAACTCATTTTAAGCTTCTGAACTTGATTCACCATAAATAGCTGATTTTACACGATATTGCAAGATAAATAGGCTCAAAGCAGGATTAACTGTTTAACTGCTTTTGTGAAGAGCTTTTTGGATTTAGTACTGGTCTTTCAGATTTCTCTTAAGTAGAAATAAACCCAGGACATAAAAATTATTGTAGGTTGTATTGGAATAACTAAATAGTAGCAATTGATGAGACATCCAGGAAAAAACTAAAGAATTCTCTCACCAGCTCATAAGGAGGGACATGAGCCTTTGCTACTAGATAAATTACATTCCCAAATTATCAGATATGTTTTACATAAAATGTAAAACAGAAACCTCTCTTCCCTACCAATCTTCCTACTATTATTTCCTAACACCAGAAAAGCTGAGACAATGGTAGTGTGATCGATGATTCATGATACTGTTTGACTATAGCATTCTAATCCTTAGAAAAATTTATGAGCAAAGACTATTAACATACAACTGGTATGTGAGTGCATGTACAGACTACGTTAACATGGATTGACTCCACAATCTCTGCTCATGAGATTGTGTGCTCATGCCCTGAACACCAAGCCCTCAGAGCCAAATTGAGAAGCATGCTTTGTTAGGTCAGTGTAACTTTAGTTCCTTACATACCACATCTAAAAACAAAACCAAAAATATTTAAAAAGATAAAAAAAAATTCCATATTGCGGAAGATCCTTTTATCCATATCCTTTTATCCATTTCTTACACAAGGTTTTAGAATGTGAGCATGCAGCTTCACCACATGTTCAAGCTCTGTTCACCCCATCCGACTTAGCTGATGGTGCAGGATGACTTTATGTCACTTGAAATACAGAGGACTAATTATCAGTAATATTTGAAGACATGCAATAATACAAAAGTGCTTTACGAGTCACAAGTAAACTAAAGGCAGAGGATTGAGCATTAAAAGCACAAAATAATACAGGAATTGAAACATGTACTATATGCCTTCAGGTAAGCTTTGAAAAGAAAAATTTTCAGGATCACTTATGAGTAAATGGCAAAGCTAAGGATGCCTGGCTTTTGTTAGGAGCTAGGTAATATTAATCCCCATGACTCTAGAGAAATACCACTTTATAACATTCACCTTAAAGTGACCAATATTATCTTTATCTTAGTTAGAAGAAATTTTATATGTAGTTTCATATATATATATATATGCGCAATGTCTTCTGTTGCTTTCCTTAGAAAATTAACAGTCAACATTAAAAACTGATAGTGAATACTTATCAAAATGCATTATGTATTACTGCAGCTTCATCCATCATTTCAAATACTTCTAAAATTCCTACTATGAGCCTGCTTCTTTATTAAATGCTGGGGATGCTAAGACAAACTGATCTTGCCTTTTTTTTTTTTTTCAGAGAGAGAGAGAGAGGAGAGGGGGGGAGAGAGAGAAGAGAGAGAGAGAGAGAATTTTTTTAATATTTATTTTTCAGTTTTCGGTGGACACAACATCTTTATTTTATTTTTATGTGGTGCTGAGAATCGAACCCAGCACCCCACCCATGCCAGGCAAGTGCGTTATTGCTTGAGCCACATCCCTAGCCCCCAATCTTGCCTTTGTATTGTGCTTATTCCAGCTGGCGAATAAATGTGAGGACATCTAGAATGATCCACATGAGAACAGAGGCTTACATGAAGAGCTAGCACAATTTTGAGTAGGGAGCGATAGCTTTATCTTGGAGTGTGAAGTTGTGTGTGGCAGACTCGCTCACCAGAGGAATTTTTGTCAGAGGCTTCATAGGGTCTCTGGAAACTGACCAAGAGCAACTACAACAAAAGAATTACAACATTTTACCCCTAAATTCCCAGGTCAAAGCTCCAACAACTAAATAGAAGTGTTAACATGCAATCAGTGAAGAAAACCTAGACCTGAATTCTTTTTATAAAGAGACATGGATTTTCTAATAGAGATTTTCAAATTAAAATGAGAAATGTCTTAAACAGTTGCCATGAAATCCAAATTCATATCCCTTTACTCACTGCTGAAAATGCACATTTGGCGTCAGGAAGTTGGGGGTAAGGATATGGGGGCCATTAAAACAAGCAAAAGCTCCCATTCCATTATCTTAATAGCAACTTTATAAATCAATCCATAGGGCCCCTTCCCCCTAATGAGCTGCAAAGTACCAAACAAAACTGTGCAGCACATAATGAAATACAAGCTGGGGGCCCTCCGGTTCTGTGTTTAGAGTACCATGCTAATAAGGCCATGAGGGCCCCTTATCTTCACTCTGTTCCATGACCTCATACAGGGGCCCTAACTTGAGTCATTCCCCAAAAATCATTCCCTTGGTGTCCTGGGCTCAGGTGAGTTTAGCATAGCACTTAGCCAATGTGGAGCAAAGGAGGTACCTATGCTTAAAAAAATATATTCAGGATTTCAAATATATACTGTATTCACACCATTTTGGACATAGCAAGAGAACACTGTTGTTGTAGTTAGCTTGTTGTAGTTAGCTTCTGACATGGCTCCTAGTGTTCCCCACCTCCTTGTACTCAAGCCTTTCTGTAATCCCTCCCCTCAAGAGGGGGCTGAACTTAGTAACTTGCTTCTGAGAACACAGCCCAAGTTAAGGAGCATCACCTCTGTGATGAGGTTGCAAAATTTTGTGACTTCCTTCTTGCTAAAACTTCATCTTTTGCTCATGAAACAAGGTACCATATTGTGAGACTCTCAATGCAGAGGTCCATGTAGCTAGAAACTGATCGAGACTTCCAGCCCTAAGCATTCAAGGAAGTCCTGGCTTAGAAAGCAACAACTCACAAGGAATTGTATCTGGCTAACCATAATGTGAGGCAGTTAGAGTGAATCCTCAGCTGGACCTTGAGATGACTGTTTTTTTTTTGGAGAGACCCAATGTTCTCAGCAAAGTGGAACCTGGACTCCTGACCCATAGAAACTCTGAAATAATGTTGTTTTAGCCACAAGCTTTGGGGGTAATTTTTTCAAGACCTGGCTGGTGCAATGCAGTATACAAACAAATGTATGTCATCATTGATTTCCCACAGCTGCCTTTAGACTGAAAGACTTAAGACACTGCAGCATTTTCTCCTGATGGGCAGCCATGTCCTTGTTCCCATGGAGCAGTGCACTCCTTACACTGGGGCCATGCCTAAACAACCAGATCCCTTACTAGTTTATATTTCAGGCTACTGTTACAAGTCCACTTAAAATAGGCCTATAAGAGAGGTAATTATAAACTGCTGTTGAAGAAATACTACAAGACACATCTATTTGTTCTCACTCCAGCATTTAAAAACTGTTTTTCATTTTCCTTCTCATGCAACTTGGTTTGTTTTTGCTAATGTAATCAACCTGTGCTGTTCCTTGCAAT